GAGCCAAGAGGGCTAACGGTTACTTTTTTATTTCGTATAAATGATAGGAGAACATTGAAGTAAAATCAATTTATTTCTTATTGTTCTCAATTTTCAATTTCTCATATTTCTCACAATTCACAAACACAATTACTTATCATCAATTGTGGTCATTGAAGATATTTTTAAAATCCTAAGTAAGTTCGTGTTTCCAAATTCTTTTTATTTTTATATATTTCTAAATTATAGATAAACTTATTCTCTTTTTTTTTTGTTTCATAAATTATGGATATGAAATGTCAAACGTGGATATGCATATACTTAATCTTCCTTCTAAGTTCAATCATTACGGTGTTGCGAATTTGGCGTATAAATACTTCGATCGAGGATCTTCCCATTTACAGGTGTTATTGTTCTTTTCTACATTAGTTGCATTGTTATATAATTTTCCTAAAAAACATTTGTCTGGGAGTGAAAAAAGAAAAAAAAAACAAACAAATAGATGATTTAATAGAATCACAAAAGGGAGCTCTTGATAAATTCTTTAAAAATAGAGTAGGAGAGTCTTCTAATGAAAATTTAAATGATATTGCTGAGAATTTAAATAATGTTGATAGTTCTTCAAATGAGTCTAATTTAAATGTCCATAATCATGCACAAAATGAGTCTAATGTTGAAGATGTTGGGATTGATCAACACTTAGTCCCTACTGTAGACATTTATGATCCTATAAATTGGGGTAATCTTGATAACAAATCTAGAGATATTTTAGTTGAAAAGGGGCCTATAAGAGAATTGAATTTGAAATTTCCCTTAGCCAATAATTCTAGGCATTTTTCATATGCTTATTTTTCTAAAATGTTGAGTAATGGAGAGATTAGCGATAGAAAATAGTTGGTCTATTCTAAATATGTGGACAAAGTTTATTGTTTTTGTTGTAAATTGCTTACAAAACAAAACAATAAGAGTTATTTAGCAAATGATGGATTAAATGATTGGAAGCATCTTAGTGAGAGACTCGAACAACATGAAAATAGTATTGAGCATATGACTAACATGAATATTTGGAGTGAGATTAAAAACTAATCAAACACTTGATAAAGATTTACAACAAGGAATTTCAAAAGAGAAAGAACGTTGGAGGCAAGTTTTAATAAAATAGTTTGTGTTGTAAAATGTCTTGCTAAAAATAATTTAGCTTTTCGAGGATCTAGTGAGAAAATTTACGATGAGAATAATGGAAATTTTTTAGGATTAATTGAAATGATTGCTGAATTTGATTTGCCTATGCAAGACCATATTAGTCGTATTCAAAGTGAAAACATTCATTATCATTATCTTGGTCATGTCATTCAAAATGAACTAATCTCTCTCTTGGCTCATAGTATTAGAACTTCTATTCTAAAGATCATCCAGAAGGCAAAGTATTTCTCTGTTATTCTTGACTGTACCCCTGATGTAAGTCATCAAGAACAAATGACTCTAATAGTGCGATGCATAAATATGTCAAACAACAAAGTAAAAATAGAAGAGTACTTTTTAGAGTTCTTGAAAGTGGATGATACATCTGGATTGGGGCTTTTCAATAAATTAGTAAATACATTGCAATCTCTAGAGTTGAACGTTGATGATGTGAGGGGCCAAGGATATGAAAATGGTTCTAATATGAAAGGAAAACACCAAGGTGTTCAAAAGAGATTACTTGAAATAAATCCTAGAGCTTTATATATGCCATGCGCTTGTCATAATCTTAATCTTTCTCTTTCTGATAAGGCACATTCTTGTGTTAAAGCTATTTCTTTTTTTGGGATTGTGGAACGTATATATTCATTGTTCGCAAGTTCTACCAAAAGGTGGAAACTTTTATGTGATAATGTTCCGGAAACTGTGAAATCTTTATCTGATACTCGATGGGAAAGTCGAATTAAAAGTGTCAAAGCTATTAAATGTCATACTCCTAAAATAAGGTTAGCTTTGTTACAATTATATGAATATTGTGGTAATGATGCAAAAGCAAAAAGTGAAGCAAAAAGTTTAGCTAGTGCCCTTCAAAGTTTTGAATTCTTACTTGGAATGGTTATCTGGTATGATATTTTATTTGCTATCAACACGGTAAGTAAGAAATTACAATCTAAATCAATGTGCATTGATACTACCATAAAGGAGTTGGAAGGTGTAATGTCATATTTTGAAAACTATAGAAATAAGGGGTTCGAAGCTAGTATAGATATTGCTAAAAGTCTTGCATTAGATATGAACATAGAGCCAATTTTTCCGACTAAGCATCGTAATTTTAGAAAAAGACAATTTGATGAGAATGACCACGATGAAGAAATGCAATCAGCAGAGGAGTCTTTTAAAGTTAATTATTTTTTTGTTGTTGTTGATATGGCGCTCGCTTCTTTGAAAGATAGATTTGAACAGTTAAAGATTTTTTAAAATTATTTTGGATTTTTAATTGATTCTACAAGGTTGAAGTCATTGGATGACAATAAATTAAAAGAATGTTGCAATAATTTTAAGATTATTTTTTCTCATAATAATTTGTCGGATGTTGATGTAGATGAATTTTTTCCTGAAATGAAAGTGCTGCAATTGACTTTGCCAAATGTATTCATGTCAGCGCTTGAAGTTCTTGAGTTTGTTAAAGCTAGAGATTGTTATCCTAATGTTTTAATTGCTTATCGAATCTTATTAACACTGTCGGTAACGGTAGCATCCGCGGAAAGAAGTTTTTCAAAGCTGAAATTATTGAAGAATTACTTGAGGTCAACAATGTCACAAGAAAGATTGAATGGACTCTCTATGTTATATATTGAGAAAAATATGTTGGAAAACATTGATGTTGACCCTATCATCAATGATTTTACATCAAGAAATGCTCGAAGACAATATTTTTTATAAGTATTTATATGCTTAAATATGTTTTTGACATTTTTATATTGTAATGAATTAATATTTATTTAATTTAATAAAAATTAATTAAAATTTTATATTGCATATTTTTTAATATTCTTTTAAATTAGGGCTATTTTTTAAATTTTGTCCCGGTCCTAAAAAAAGTCAGAGCCGGCACTGCGCAAACAGCGACATCCGTGCATACCTTGCAGCGCTCTCTCTCGTGCAGGTCTCTCTCTTTCGATTCATCTTCTTCCCTGCAATGGCTCCCTTGACTAAATTAATCCAATGTTTGTTGGCAGGATTATTACCCTGAAACACTCGAAAAGCTATTCATAGTCCATGCACCTTACATTTTTATGACTGCATGGAAAATTGTTTGCCCCTTCATAGAACAAAAAGCCAGGAACAAGGTAAACAATAAACAGCACAAGAATAAACATTCTGAATAATATCTTATCTGATTTTTTTGTCAGATAATGTTCGTTGATAACAAACTGCTGAAATCCACTATGCTTGAAGAAATAGACGAAAGCCAGCTCCCAGAAACATTGGGTGGCAAGCTTCCGTTGGTTCCGATTCAGAACAGCTAATACTTGACACTTTCTCAATTACTGGAACATGATTTTGATATATATCTGGCCAAGAACCGAGAAAAGTTGTGCAGAATTATTAGCTTCAAATCTATTGATGCTTCGTCCTGGATTCTTGAGACCCGTCCATCTAAAAATTAGATATATCTAATGCTGACAAGACTTTATTAGGCGGGTCGTACAGAATTCGTTTGAGTATTATATATTTTTGTAATTATATATAATTTTTAGTTTTTGTTTAATTTTAATACCCTGATGTTAAAAACTTTGATCGACGTCATAAAAAATATGGCAACATCTTGATAATTGTTTTTTTTTACAACTCAAATACGACATTTATTGATTACAAGTACCTATCAAAATCAAAAAAATCAATATGGTTGCCTAAAACATAGATAGATGATTAAGGTAACCAAATAACCACCAACAAAAAATGGTAACAATAAATCAGATCTTCTTTTGTGAAAACATGATTTAGACGTATTAAAGAAAATATAACGTCATATACATTTCATAAGAAACGAGAAAAAATATTAAAGGAAAATAACAATTCAAATTTTAAATGAAATTCTAAAAATAAAAATGAGCAAAAGATAAGAGATGGAAAATGATCTCCAAATTTTAAATTCAAATTTTTGTGAACGAAAAGATAAGAGAAAAACGAAAGGGATTGATAACTGATCTCCAAATTATCTCACATGATATATTAATATTGCCAAATTAGAGAAATGGAAAATGAGGGACCAACACTTGCATGTCTCTCACAGGATAAAATTAATGTTTTCTTCTGTAAGCTATTACTAAATTGAAGTTTATTAGAGGTGACAGACCCCTCCCATCAAATTTTTTTAACTATCTTTTTTATATTTTAAAATGCCAAAAATAAGAGAAATAGCAAATGAGAGACAACAATTTGTATTTCTCAAATGATTAGATTAATGTTCTTTTCTTTGATCTACTATTAAATTAAAGTTCATTAAAGGTGATAAGTAGGGGTGTACAAAAAAATCCGATCTGATTCGATCAAAAAATTTGTATATCCAATCCGTTTTTCAATTTTTAAATAGTTCGGATCGGTATCTGAATTTTTTTTCGGATTATTAGATCGGATACAGATCGATAAAAATTCGTTTTCAGATTATCCGAACACGATAAAAAACTGGGTTATATACGAAGATCGGAGACTCACCCCTTTATTTCCCAATTCCAACCCCTCACCTCACCTTACCTCATTTCTGTACTCCTCGCCGACCCAGAGCATTAATCGATCTCATTGGTTCCCTTTTGTCCTCTACTATTCATCCTGCTATCGTGCTTTCAAAGGTAACTTATTTTATTCTTGAACTTTTCTAAGTTTTCTGAGGGAAAATGATGAGTATGTGCTTGAGAACTAGGATGCATAGTATGGTTCAGTGTTTTGGATGAAGTTAAAGGTAAAATATTTTTTGATGGAAAATATATAATATTATTTGGATTCGATAATTTGTGATATTTAACTCTATGGAAACTTTAAATTTAGTAGCTGTTTAAATAACTGCAATTTGGTTGCAGACAAGTGGTATCCCAGTTTCAGAGATTTGTGAACACCGGTTTTTGTTGTACAACAAGGATGCTACACAGCACATCTTTGAAGTATCTGCTGGTTTGATTCTCTTGTTCTTGGCGAAGGTCAAATTCTTGCACAAGTTAAACAAGTTGTCAAAGTTGGGCAAGGTGTTGTTGGCTTCGGAAGGAATGTTAGTGGGCTGTTCAAACATGCAATTACTGTTGGGAAACGGGTTAGAACAGAGACTAACATTGCTGTTGGGGCCGTTTTTGTTAGCTCTGCAGCTGTTGAATTGGCTTTGATGAAGCTGCCTGAGTCTTCACATGCTGTTGCTCGAATGTTAGTTATTGGAGCAGGAAAGATGGGAAAACTTGTGATCAAGCACTTGGTGGCAAAAGGTTGCACCAAGATGGTTGTTGTTAATAGAAGTGAGGAGAAACTCGCAGCAATCCGTGAGGAGATGAAAGGAATCGAGATTATTTACAGACCCCTTACAGACATGCTCGCTTGTTCAGCTGAAGCTGATGTGATCTTTACTAGTATTGCATCAGAAACTCCATTGTTTTTGAAAGAACATGTCAAGGACCTCCCCACTGTCAGCTCTGAAGTTAGTGGTTCAAGGCTCTTCGTTGATATCTCCGTTCCACGAAATGTGGGATCATGTGTCTCAGATGTTGAAGGCACACGACTGTACAATGTCGATGACCTGAAGGAGGTTGTAGCTGCTAATAAAGAGGACCGACTACGAAAAGCAATGGAAGCTCAGGCCATTATTGCTAAGGAATCAAAACAGTTTGACGCGTGGAGGGATTCACTTGAAACCGTTCCGACCATCAAGAAGATGAGACCCCATGAAAAGAGAATTCGAGCTACAGAGTTAGAGAAATGCTTATCAAAGATGGGGGAAGATATCCCAAAGAAGTCAAGGAAGGTAGTGGATGATCACAGCCGTGGAATTGTGAACAAACTTCTCCATGGTCCAATGCAGCACCTGAGATGTGATGGCAGTGACAGTCGAACTCTAAGTGAGACCCTTGAGAACATGCATGCACTTAACAGAATGTTCGGCCTGGAGACAGATATATCTCTTCTAGAACAGAAAATTCGAGCCAAGGTGGAACAAAGACAAAAGTAAGTGTCGATGTAGAATATCCAACTTCCTAATGGTCAAATAAGAGGGTTACTTCCTCAGGGTGTTATGAGTTTTCATCTGCTGTAGTTGTCGATTCGAAGTTCTTGTGGGGTATATTTCAATTCATTAATTTGTGTAATTTAGACTATTTTGTGTTTGAATCTCATTTGATCTTTACACTCAAACAACATGCTTGTAGGTGGTCTTTTGGCTTTATGGTGTGCACAGTGTGAAGTGAGCTTGATCCGTGTCACATTTATCTGTAGAATGTATGATATCTATTTGAACAATATCAAGCATTGTAACTAATCGTTACTTATTTTAATATAGAGCTGGAATTTTTTGCAAATGTATTTATTCAGATTTTTCTTAAGTAAACTTTGTTGAAAACATTTTAATATTTCGATATAACAAACTAAGTTTAAATGAATTTTAAGATTTTACAAATGATTTTTCTAAAGTATATTCGATATAATTATTCGAATATCAAAATATTACTCCAAGTCCTTCAAAGTTCAATTTTAATCCTTACTAATGTGTAAAATTATGTTTTATACTTAAAATATTTTTGAAACAATTTTCACAAAGTATTTCCAACAAAAAAGAGCCTAAAATCAATTTTTCAGGTAAGTGTACCAATGCATGAATCAATGCATTGATGCACCCTTGTTTTAATTGAACATCGAATGGCTTTTGTGTACCGATGCACATACCATGCATCGATGCACTCCATATATATTAAAACATCGAATTGATTTTATGCACCGATGAACAAGCCATGCATCGATGCACCCAGGCTTTTTCAAAACATCGAAGCATATTTATGCATCGATGCACTATCACTGTATCGATGCACTAAGGGTACAACGGTCAAAATATTTGAATTTTACACATAGTGTACCGATGCACTAGCCTTATGCATCGATGCACCAAACGCTCCCACTGATTTTATTAATTGATTTCACACTTAAACGACTCCATTGACTCCACTAATCATCTCCAACATTCAGAATCATTTGAATGAGTATTTAAACAAGCTTAGAAGCCATTAATCAATAAGAAGAAACAAAAAGAAACAACAATCAACAAGAATCAAAGAGAAAGCATCAAACCTCAAGTTTGAGCATTTTCAAGCCTATTTTCATTCAATATTCATTTTTGCATTCAAGAACACTTATTGTTCTCAATTGTATTATTCTTTAGTGTTCTTTCTTTGTTCTAGAATTGTGCAAACATCTTGCCTTGTGAGGATTTTCTTGTAAGTTTGCAAAATTTGTATTGTTCTCTTTGGGAGAGAGTGTTCTCAAGAATTTGGGGTATAATTCTTGAGGGAGTTGTAAGGTTATCTCTTTGACCTCAACAGAAAGAACATATTAGTGAATTTGTTTGAAAATCCTTAGTGTGGATAGCTAAGGTAGTGGACGTAGACTTTGGTTGAGAAAGTCGAACCACTCTAAATCACTGTGCAATTACTTTCAATTTTCTGCAAAAGCTTCCACCAAAATTTTAATTGCCAATTCACCCCCTCTTAGCCGATTCCGTCGATCGATTAACTCAATAATTGGTATCAGAGCTTGACTCATTTGAAGGTTTAATCGCCTTTTGAGTAGATCCGGGAAGAGTTATATTGATAATCAAGTCATCAATGGCCTACACTTCAAACTCCGACTTCGGTCTTGATTCATTGCCCAACAACAAGCCTCATTTCTTCAATAGAGCTAATTATGCTTATTGGAAGAATAGGATGATGTATTTCATTCAAGCAAGTGACATGGGAGCATGAAATATTATAGAAGACGAATACATCAAACCTTCAACTCATCCAAGATTGTGGAGTGAAGGAGATACAAGAATGTTCCAACTCAACTCCAAAGTCACCCATATTATCTTTTGTGCTCTTGGACTAGATGAATATGGGAGAGTTTCATCTTGTACAACCGCCAAAGAAATATGGGACAAACTACAAGTCACTCATGAAGGCACAAACGAGGTAAAAGAATCTAAAATTAGTCTTCTAACTCATAGCTATGAAAATTTTAGGATGAAACCGGATGAAAATGTCAAAGCTATGACGGATAGATTCTCCACGATTGTCAATAGTCTCAAATAATATGGAGAAATCATTCCAAATGATAAGCTTGTAAGGAAGTTAGTTTACTCTCTTCCAAAGGCTTGGCAATCAAAGAAGACATCGATCATCGAGGCTAAGAACTTAAAATCCTTGACTCTCGATGAGCTTATTAGCTCTCTCCTCACGCATGAAATGATGCAAAGAAGAGGAAGACCTCGAGAAAAGAGACGAGCCAAAGAAGGAGACGAGCCAAAGAAGGAGACGGAGAAGAAGAAGAATGGGAGTTGCTCTCAAATCAACAAAAAATGAGAGTGGTTCGGATGAAGATAACGATGAGATGGCATTGTTTGCCAAACGATTCAAACAATGATGAGGCCAAACCGAGGAAGAAAATTCAAACGAAATGAAGGCTTCAAGAATGAACCAAAAGAAAAGGACCCGATCATTTTCTATGAATGCAAAAAATCGGGGCATGTCAAATATGATTGCCCACAATTGAAGAGAAATGGTCAATCAAAGAATAAGCACAAGGCTCACGTGGCTACATGGAGCGATGAAGAAGGTTCCGATAAAGAGGAACAAAAAGTAGCAAACTTGTGCTTAATGGTATTGAGGGAAGATTCTAAGGTAACCTCAAACTCATTTGATTTAGATGATTTATCTTATGATGAGTTATTAGAGGAATATAATGGGTTGGCTTAGGATTATGAGAAATTGTTTTTAAAATACAAAAATGATATTTCAAAAATGAAAAATGAAAATAATCTCATATCCAAGACCAACAATGATCTGGAAAGTAAAATCAAAGATTTACAAATCAATTTAGAAGAGTTTGAAAAGAAAATTTCTGATTTGCAAAATTTACTTTCAAGAGTCAATGATGATTATCAAAAGGAAATTGATGATCTTAAAGATTCTTTTGATAAAGTTGGATCAAAATGTTTTGAAAAAGGAGAAAAATCAAAGACCAACTTTGTTAGAAAAAGTTTTAGAAACTACAATCATAGAGGTCTCCAAAGAACCTCTAATGGAAAAATCATTAGAAGTATATGGGTTCCTAAAGAACTAATTACTACTAAAGACAAGAATATCCTACACAAATGGATACGTAAGGGGACTAGGATTTTGGAAACTAATGAATATGGACCCAAAAGAATTTGGGTACCAAAAATTAATCTATGTTTGTAGGAAAAGGAGCATTGCTACAAGGCACGGGAAACAAATTCAAACTCATGGTACCTTGATAGTGGATGCTCAAACACATGACCGGTGATAAAAGCCGGTTCATAGAGCTCAATGCCAAAAATGGAGGAGATGTGACTTTTGGTGATAACTCAAAATGTCACATTGAAGGTATAGGCACTATAGGTAATACCTCTTCCATACAAATTAATAATGTTTTATATATGAATAGATTAAAGCATAATCTATTGAGTATTAGTCAATTGTGTGATAAAGGATTCAATTTCATGTTTGATATTATTGGTTGTAAAGTCATTAACTTTGCATCTAATCGGATTATGCTTGTTGGTCATAGAATAAGAATCATTTACATGGTGCATTTAGATTCCATATATATGACTAATTTATGCCTAGTTGCTAAAGATGAGCATGATAGTTGGTTATGGCATAGGAGACTAGGACATGCTAGTATGAGTGTTTTGTAACGGTTAATTCAAGGAAATCTAGTTCGAGGGTTGCCTAAACTGAAATTTGATAATGATAAAATCTGTGATGCTTGTGCTAAAGGAAAACAAAAGCGAGTTTCTTTTAAATCCATTAATGACGTATCCACTAGTAGAGTATTACAATTAATTCATTTAGATCTTTTTGGGCCATCTAGGACTACTAGATTAGGTGGAAAACAATATGCATTTGTCTTGGTAGATGACTATTCTAGATATACTTGGGTTCTATTTTTAAGTACTAAAGATGAAGCATTAGAAAAATTCATCACGTTTTCAAAAGTAATCCAATATGAAAAATGTTACTCTATAACTAGTGTTAGGAGTGATCATGGAACTGAATTTGAAAATCTTGGATTTACTGAATTTTGTAATTCTAATGGTATTAGCCATAATTTTTCAGCACCTAGAACCCCTCAACAAAATGGAGTTGTTGAAAGGAAAAATCAAAATTTAGAAGAAATGGCTAGAACCATGCTTTGTGAAAATAATTTGCCAAAATATTTGTGGGCGGAAGCCACAAATACCACTTGTTATGTTATTAATCGAGTTATGATTAGGCCTATTTTGAAGAAAACTCCATATGAATTTTTTAAAAATAAAAAGACTAACATTAGCTATTTTCATCCTTTTGGATGTAAATGTTTTGTTTTAAACAACGGTAAAGACAATCTTGGTAAATTTGATGCTAAAAATGATGAAGGAATTTTTCTGGGTTATTCCTTAAATTATAAAGCTTATCGAGTATTTAATAAAAGAACTTTAGTTGTATAAGAGTCTATACATGTTATTTTTGATGATAATCCCCTTCCGAGGAAGGATTCTTATGTGAATGATGATGTAGGTATTATAGACATAAATGACGTTGGACATGATGTTGGAGAACCATCATCAAAGAAAGAAACGAAAGATAAGGAAACTCAAGATCCTCTTGAGAATCCAACCATTGAAGAAAGGGAAGTCTCTTACCCAAGAGAATAAAACTATGTCAAGGATGGTGAAATAATAAGTGATCCATCCAAAGGGGTAACAACTCGATCTTCTCTTAGAAATATTTGTAATTATGTTGCATTTATCTCATGCATAGAGCCTAAGAAATTAAAGAAGCATTAAATGATGAACATTGGATTATGGCTATACAAGAAGAGTTAAATCAATTTGAGAGAAGTAAAGTATGGACATTAGTTGATAGGCCTAGTAATAAGTCTATTGTAGGTACTAGATGGGTATTTAGGAATAAGCTTGATGAAAGTGGTAATATAGTG